CTTTTCCACAGAGAAGCAAGCTCAACACTCCAACATTCCACACCCTCTTCCCCCGCTCTTCCCTATGCTTGCTATCTCTTAGGCTTATTAGCACCTCGCGCTTACTTTCTCGAAACAAAAGGCATAGCTCGGCGTCGTCGGCGATAATCGGCTTGCTTTTTGCAGCCCTCTGTTCATCGTTAGATATCTCTCTTCTCCATAAGATTCTGTGTGCCCACGGTTGGCAATAGCAGGCTAGAAGCGAAGAATCCATCCATCCATCGATTGATTGCACCAAGGTGAGGTGAAAGAGGAAGAGGAAGCCAAAATGGAGGAGAAGCCCACGTTGGCTGGCATCGAGGTGGCCAATGTCAACCCTTTGGGCCTGACTGCCTTTGCGCTCACCGCATTCACCATGTCCATGTTCACCACGGGTCTGCTGCCGGAGTCTGTCAGCAACGTCGGCTTGGCGATGGGCTACTTCTTCGGCGGGGCGGGCATGCTTCTTGCGGGGGTGTGGGCGTTCTTTGCACGCAGCACCTTCGGCGCCACGGCCTACTGCTCCTACGGCTTCTACTTCCTGTCGTACACCTACTACATGGTGGAGATGGAGAAAGACGCGGCCAACCCCGACAAGACCCACGTGGCGCTGGGGGTGTTCCTACTGGGGTGGACAATCTTCACGATCTGCATGACCATCATCTCCTACAGGACGTTCCGCGCTCTGTTCATCATGTTCGTCTTCCTGACGTTCGATTACTTCTTCAACATGGTAGGCGCATGGGCGGACTCGAAGAGCGCCACCAAGGCGGGAGGCTGGTTCGGCCTGATGGCAGCGGCGACGGCCTTGTACTGCGCCATGTCCATAGTCGTAACGGACACGTGGAAGGAGGAGGTGCTGCCACTAGGACACTACAAGGGTTAACAATCTCCACTCACTCTTCCATTAACCTTTTTCTGTGTACAACATACATATACATTGCTGACTCATCATATTCCTCTGCGTCGTACGGCGAGTTACAATTAATTTAATTAATTTAATTAATTACTCTTCTAGTCGGAATTAATCAGTCGTCATCAAAGATAGAGGTAGACCGTAGAGGTAAAGATTCTAAAGAGCCGTGCCAGAAGGTGATATACCCATTCACGGTTGCAGCGGACTAGAGCCTTCCCCCGAACACAACGCACCCTCATTTTGCCTGCAGCGGACCGGAAAAATGGCTTGTATACATTCATTATTCGTGTGCGTCGTGTTCTGGCGAAGACGATGGGACTCTGATTCGTTGAGCTACAGTTAATAAGTCGGAGCAGAGACAGGTACGCTACACGATGAAAAGTCGCAGCAGAAGAGTCCAGCGGCTCGGCGCGCGCTGCCACCTGCGAATACAAGAGGGGATGAATATGGTCCGCTTTTTCATCGCTAAAAAGGAGAGCTCAGGGTGCCTCATCCCGTGCCATGAACTCGGTCCTGTGTAATCGAGATGAGCGGTCCGGATTCGATCCCATGGTCGTCCTGATCGCAGGTTTGTCGCCGTCTGTGTTCCGTGGGACCAATGGGGCGTTTCTATCGGGCCCACACTTGGCATCGCAGCGGCACGAGGGGTGGAGAAGGGCAAAGGGAACACAATTTTGAGAGAGCCGGGGGGGGCCGGGGGGGGAGGTAGCTTAGTAAAGGGGGTCAGGGGGTGTTAACGTAGTAAAGGGGG